TTATAAAAGGGTGCATACATGTATATATATGTAAATATATACGTAAATATATTTGTACATATATATGTATATGTATATATATATATATAGAATTGCATGTACATATACGTTACTTTTATTCATATACATAATTTCCGAGAATTATATCCAATATCACTCGCTCGTTTTCCCATTCGTACACTACAGTGTGATCTTTCGTTTCTGGACGAAGAAAATGGAGTCGAAGAAAATACTATTGAAGAATTTGGTGGGGCGCAGACACACAACGAGTTGTTGTGGCAACCAGACTCAGTGGACGACGATAGCTGTAAGTTTATGAACGGATGGTATTCCACTCGAAAAAACGCTTAGGTTTTTAAATTAACATGGGTGTGCGCTTATCTAATCATCTTAATTTAAAAATATGTACGTGTGCTGATGTTCCAGTTTGTAATGTGGGCTGAAAATATTTATAGACCTATGTATCGATATGTGTGTCATGAACGTATTAGTTTGTCGTGCTCTCGATATGTTCGAGTCCTTTGCTCTCCCACTTGTTTTAAACACTCCCTTCTAAGAATAGATTCTACCTACCTTCCACACGCCGTCACCACCACCATCACGCAGTGAATGTGATCTTGGAGTACTCGGACCTTCTTAAGGTACGCCAACCCGCTGGCATGAAGTGGTACTATGAGGATATCCTGCACTTGTGCATGAATGCGCCCCACTTGACTTCTGTGCTTGTGAGTCTTCTCGACTCCGAAGTTCGGGCGAAGTACCGCACTGTGCCGCAATGGACCGACGAGGTGCGTTGGGCTGTGCTATCGTGTATGCGTCTGAGTTTTAGGTTAGACGACTTTGTGTCTGCCGGTCTGCATATGAAGGGGGGTTTTTTTGTCACAATTTCGTTCAGTGTATATATGTGACAGTCTGCGGGTGGTACTTTCTCTCGCGTCTCCGGAGGTTCGTTCACTACCCGAGAGTCCCCCCTCTCCAGTCTACGTAAACTCCTTCAGTGCACGAGCGTGTCATTGTGTGTCTGTGCCAGTCTAGAAAGTAAATGGGTGCGCTCGTGAGAGTATCTGTTTGTTCTATCTATAGCTTAGCTATGCATAACATTCTTCTGCGTTATGTGCGTAGTGTTTGTGTGAGGTGATGTGTATATGTGTCGATTTATATATGACTATGCAGTACGTGTATTAAAGGTGTGTTCTGACATTTTATACACGTTTATTATTATATCTATGTAGTATGTGTATTTAAGTTTATGTTAAATATGTACAATAGTTGTGTACATCAGTTTATATATATATATATATATAAAGCAATGTATTCAACTATCATCACATAATTCTGTGATATATATAAGACTCATGCACATACGACATGGGCCCATGTAGTATATGAATATGTTGTATGTATGAACTTTTATAATTAGGCGACAAATATGTACAATAGTTGTATACATCTGTTTATATATATATAAACACGCACACACACACACACATATATATAAATATAGCCTTTTTGGTTCGTATATGAATACAGCGCGTCTCGCCAGTCGCGCTAGGTGTACCAGCCAGATCTCGCTGTGGTTTGTTCCTGTGGGAGTGTAGATTCCAGTCAGTGAATGTCTTGTGTGTATGTTATTATGTTATTGTACTCGTACAAAGATGTTGTACGGTATGCCTTGTCTGCCAACAGCTCAAGGCTTTGTACGTATACTTCGCTTTCCTTGATGAAGGGCTCACATGCTGCGCGTGTCCTTCCATGGTCCATTCCCCGCAGGAGAAAAATTTATTCAGAGATGGCTTCTCCAAATACCAAAAGGATTTTAGAGCAATCAGCCAAGAGGTATGCTTTCATATTGTACTCTCCGAAGCATCAGTGGTAGCTCTTAGTCTCTCACTTACCTGATGGCAATAGTAACGTATGCATTGAGTGCACATGTAGATATCTGCTGTAAATCCAAATACATGTACGTATATGCGCATACATATGTACCGTCCTTTTGTGTTGTTGAAAGCATGTATGAGTTTTGAGCGATTATCATTGTCTACAACTTGCGTTTCACCTTATAATATTTCAATTCATAGGTCTTCATACCAGCTACTCATGTGCAAATCTTCGTATGCCATGTATATATATATATATATATTTGTGGTTTTTCGTATACATTTGTAGATATTTGTAGATATTTGTATACCAATATATGCAAACTTCAACTTAAAACCGCGATATTTACATCGAGTCATATCTGAAGATGGAATCAAACATGGACTACTTCATAACTATTGGTCATTGAGCTTGAATGACACACAAATCATTGAACAAGCAGATCCAGACCAAGAGCATAGCCGATGTCGTCGCCTACTACTATCACTGGAAGAAGGATGAGAATACAGACTATCGATATTCTCTGAGCAAGAGAATACCCCCGGTATGTTGTACACTCAGACGGGTTGTTGGATGTATGTGAGTTTTGTTCCATGTTACGAATTGGGTTTCTTGTGTGATTTTTATTTCTCGCTTAGTGTTTTGGTCTGCGGCGATGGTTGCTGGTCGTTGACAATATATGTTTATGTAATATACATGTGTGTATGTATAGACATGTACATGTACGTGTGCATAAACGCAAGTACGTTTATCTATATGTGGATTATTCTTGACGCACACTATTCTGGCAGAATTGGGTCTTCCTCGTAGCTTCATAAGTGCGAGTGTAGCGTCATCGATTCAGCATTAATCTGACATTTGAAAGCAAGTTTCATTGTTTCAGCTTATGACGCTTCATTCGATAATCCTTAACTTCGCTAAATCAATGCAATAACACGGAGTATGGACCCAACTTGTGGGTTCATCACCCACCGAACCCGAAAAGTTTTTCTCTCGCTTACACGAAACCCTGGTTTTTATGCAGGCGACACCGGAAGAACCCACCAGCCGCAGGCGACAGGCGATCGGAAATAACCGCTCGTCGTATGCAGCAAATGGTGCCCACACGGCTGGTGCAAGTCCTGCCAAACCGTCGCGGAATAGGTGTGTTTTATAGTAAGGTTGCAATGGAATGGGGGTGCAGGTATACATATACATGTATTGTGCTTGAACGTTCTGTACTCAAGAAGGGGCGTTGTTTAAATAAAAAGGTGGGGGTGCAGGTGTGTATATGCGTGTATGTGCGTGCGTGCGTGCGTGCGTCTGATTGATTATATTTTAATGGATATGTATGCATATACACGCACACACACACACACACATAAATATATATATATATATGTATGTATATATATGTATGTATATATATATATGAACGAGAGAATGCAAAAATGTATTCCGAATATGGACTCGATCTCAAAGAATCATTCATTACTTCAAATTGTAGAAACAGAGGTACAACTAAACGAAAGCGTGGACGTAAACCTAAGCGCAAACACAGCAGCGACCGTGAGACACAGCCTAGTGGCACCGAACTATCTTCCAGTTCCGATAGCAGCTCTGAGGAGAGTGGCGATAGTGGGGATAGGGAGTGTGCGGTGGTTACTGATGCAGACGATAGTGAGAACGCGCTGTCTCTGGATTTGGGCGAGGACGAAGATGTTGGGGAATTCACAAATAGGTCGAAGAATGGGCGGTTTGTTTCCAAAAAGGTAAAATTAGGGGCCAAAAATACGGCCACAGTCATTCGTAGCGACGAAGAACCGGACAAGCCCGAACCAAAAAATACTGATAGTCCTAAGACCAAAAATGATGACAAGCCGGATGATAAAGGTGAGGGTGAGACTAAGGTTGAAGAAAGCAATTCTGTGGACGAGGTAGCGAATGAACCAGGCGAAGATAATGAGACGTTAGCAGATACCAATAAGGACACTGAAAAAGACACCCTCGATGAGACAGAAGTGGCCACGGCTGTGGAGATTGACACAGCCACCACGGGTAACGATGGCAACGCCGGTAACCAAGGCAACAGCAGCAATGCCCAAGGCAACGCTAAACCTCAGGACAAGGAAGTGGATGTCATTGCGGCGGCGAACACGCTTGCGAATGACATTATCAGTCGCACTCTGGGCCCGCGAAACCGCAGAGCTGCCGCTGCCAGAGCGAATGCTAATGCTAATGCTAATGCTGGTGCTGGTGCTAAGACAAATGCTAAGACAAATGCCAGCCCTGGTTTCAATGCTGGGGTTAGCGCAGAGACTAAGGGTGCTGCGGACAAGGACAAGGAAGCGGTGCTTGCAAGAGAAGGAGATGCGCCAATGCGGGATGAGAGGTACGCAGAATGATCAGGATGTGCTATTGTGTGTTTGATGTAGGGTGTCGTTAGCTTGGCTAATATGTGGTCAATTAAATATGCGCCGTGTGTGAGTGATGAGTGTAGTGTGTACCTGAAATACGGGTGCCTGTATACTTGTGCGTGTAAAGTGTGTGATTGCAGTACCGTTCACATTCGCACGTATGCATACATATATGGAAAAAAATTGCACATGCGTTCGTATAGACAAAAACGTTTACATGCATACGTATATAGAAAAACGTTCGCATATATGGTGGCTTCAGGTATACCTTGTAAACAGTGTACTGGCAAGCGTTCACTAATTACGTTCATCCATTGCCCGCATTGTTTCCACTCAGAATTGTCCGCAATGTGGCCGAATCTTTACACAATCCATTCAGCCGTTCGAATTCCTGGGCTGCGCAGGTCAACAACAGCTCGGGTCAAAACTACCGTCAGGTATGTACAACTATAGATATCGGTAATGGCTGGGTGTTGAGATGCATGCCCGGTACATAGATCAGGTACCCATGTGTGTATATATTACCAGAGCATCACAATGACGCCATCTCGTATTGCTGCATTCTGCAAAATAAAAAATGTATGTGGATTTCTGATCTGTGTTGCTTCTATTAATAGACAGTGTTTTTGTCTCTTCACGTTCTGATCCGTGTTGCTTCTTTTAATAGACAGTGTTTTTGTCTATTCACGTTCTCATCTGTGTTGCTTCTATTAATAGACAGTGTTTGTCTCTCCACTTTCTGATCTGTGTTGCTTCTATTAATAGACTGTGTTTTTGTCTCTCCACTTTCTGATCTATGGTGCTTCTAATAACGGGCTTCGTGCGCTTGCCTCTCGTAAGATGCATCCTCCTTCTGTCCTCGCCAAACTGCACCGATATTGCCCGGTATCTAAATTCACGCCTGCTCGAAGAATTGAAACCCGTGTATCTACATTGCTGCCGGTTAACGGGATAGTCCATCATACTCTTGTAGTCCATCTCACACCCATTTATCATTCACCTCGACACCGCCACAGATCCTACCCAGCCCAAGATCCAATGATTTCAACTCTGCACTCCAACAAGCGTCTCAGCGCAATGAATACGATACGTATAACCCCAGTATGGCGGCTCAAAACGCAGCCAACTCAGATGCTCACGCTAAGATAGTCGGTGAAGAAGGCAGACATGCGGCAGGGATGGACGTAAATATGAACGGCCCTAGTAAGGCAAGTGCCACGGGGAGTGGGTGGTTGCCTGGCAACGCACCCGATGGTGGAATGCAGGCGGATAACAATCTGATGAAGAGCGTCAATGCAGCGCGAGTGTTTGCGCATGAATGTTCAGAGTGTCAGGAGAAAGAGAGTACGTTGTGGAGGAAGGGTGTGCTTGGAGGTGTCCTGTGCGACGCGTGTTCTAAGGTACGCATGGGTGTGCAGTATAGTTATAAGTAAGTGTATGTGGCATGGACGGTGCGCTCAGGTGTTTGCTTTGCCTCTTGCTATAGAGTACGGCGGTTGCGATTCATTCCAAGTAGTGCACACAGATATTGATTGTCACGCCTTCTGCCTCCACCGTGCTGTGTATGGTAGTACGTACCAGGGCTGTGTACGCCTTCATATCATGAACATGTATCAATTAGCAAGCCGGTGTGTCAGAGGCTTCGTTGCAGAACCTAAAAGCCCCCCAAAAAATGCATACACCCTGGTACACAAACAGGCGGCCTTCGAATGCGTGTTTACTTTTAGTTTCGTTTCGTCCGCTCGTTTTACACCTTGGCTTACAAGTGGTTGATTAGTATCCTTCGCACAAAGGTTGTCTTTCTCATGCGAATCATGTAATATGCCTCCAGGTCATGTGCCCTTCGGACTTGATAAGCCACAATTTGCGCACTTCCTGATACGTATACGCTAACCTAGCTACTGCACCGTATAGTGTAAGCGCCAATCGCTTGCATTCGCGTCACTCCATTCATTTACGTATCGATCCTTTCCAACTCACGCGTTCCCCATCATTTTCCGCATTCGCAGAAACACACCGTCATCACCCGAGGACAGTGCGGGTACTGTGGCGGCTGCGAGTCTGATCTATGGCTCAAAGGAGAGGGTGTTGCCGTGGCTTGTCGCAACTGTTACGAGACAGTGGTGACAGATAACATCCAACGCATGGCCACGTGGACTCCTGCCGACGTCGTCGCGTACATGCACGCACACACCCGCAGGCGCGAGAGTGTGGACGGACGGTATGCCCAGGATATGCAACCCACGCCCGAAATTACGGGAGCAGGTGTAAAGGGTCCTGAGGGGGACGGTGCAGGTGCAGCTGCGCCTGTACCGGAGGTGGTGGTGCGCACGGCGACACGGTGCAGTCTGCCCGACACTCGGGTCAACTTGCCCAAGCTGCCTCATAAAGAGTCACACGAAGCACGCGCGCGGTCACAGCCACCACCGGGCATGGATAAAGAGCCGGCTATCGCGGGAAAAAGCGGGACGGAGGCGACAGATATGGGCATACAAGCCCAAGTAGACATCCCAGCGGGGGACTTGCAGAGTGAGAGGGGTATAGAAGCGACGGACACGGCACCTACTAAAGAGATATTGGCTCCAGGTGGTAGTGTGCCAGGACAGCATGATGAGGTGGGAGATGACCGTCTTGAACTATCACGAGCACTGCAACAGCGAGTAGAAAGTACTCAAGAGCCGGATGAAGGACAACACAATGAGGAGGTGGCATATGGTGCGCAAGAACCAGAGACGCACACAGACCAGCAGAGTGTGTACATGCCACAGCGACACCAGCAGATGTTGCAACAGCAACAGCAGGGACAACCGCCAAATGAATTCGCGCGGGAGTCGAGGATAGGCAAAGATCGAGAGAGAAGGGAGGAAGCTGTGAATAGAACACAGGGACAATTCTACCCCGTTGCACACCCAGGGCCACAGGAGCGACGGCTGCAGCCCCACCCTGCAACTCGCACCCAGGCTTTCGGACATGCCCAGGATGCTGAGGCCAGTCCCGACATGCGTGATGACCCGCAACAGTCCCAGATACGAGGCGTGAACACATACTCCCCGCAACCTCAACATGCAGGTCGGCCACCGCATGAACGAGGACAAGAACGGCCCTTAAGCGAGGAATACGGGGCACGGCCCAGGCCAACGGGACCGATGGGTGACGGTGTAACGATACCTCAGGTACCCACTCGCGCACGACGATATCTGAATAGCCCAGAGATGGGTTTGGGTGCGAGAGAGGGTAGTCATGCCATAGACGCCAGTGAACGTGCACGCGACTTAGGGAGAGATCCATATCAGGATCGAATGTCAATGAAAATGAATGCGAGTGACAGTGAGCGTATGGCGTTGATTCGCCGACAGGACGACAGTTTGCGTGAACGTGCTCGCGCCGAGGCCATGCGGCGTGAGGGTGGTGATGGCGGTAACGGTGGCCGAGATGGAGGTAGGTATGACCAAGATCTGCCGCGTCGTGAACCTTCACTTGCACCTGTAATTGAGTCCAGGACTGCAGGAATGGGACAGAATGAAGGGGGACCGTACGACCCTCGTGCTAGTGGTGATGTAGGTACAGCACCACCGGGCCGCAGGCTAGGACCAGGATCAGGATTCAGACCTGGACCGGGTGGCGTATATAGTAGACAATTGCACAGGAGCGGCACAGCGGGCATGTCGCAGCCGAGCAGTACACGAGAGTCCCTTGAAATGGCCCCAGGCCAGTTTTCTGAGCATCAAGGCCGAGTTCGAGGGCAAGGGCAACCCTACAGGCCAATGGGGGACAGCTACGAGTCAGCACACGGCCCCCAAACACGCCCTCCAGGTGCAAGCCTCAGGTCACCGCAGCTAGATGGAGAAGACCATGCACGACAAGCGTATGCACAAGCACAGACAGTGGCTCAGCAGGACGCTAGGTTACGCGCCAGGGAGTATGCGCGCGAACAAGAGCGCAAGATGTACGGTGTGGAGAATGACAGGGACCACATGAGAGAAAGAGAGGGCTCTGCTTATGGTCGGCCTGCACCACAGGGAATGCGAGTGCTATCCTCAGGTGTAGGTAGGAGTAGTCTAGCGGTGGATTCCGCTATGCCGGGGTTGAGTCCCGCTTTAAGTGCGGCTGGTGGTGGTAGTGGTGGCACGCGCAATAGTTTTGGCGCGGGAAGTGTCCAGAGTGGACGGTATGGGGCACCGCTACAGGGAGGCGTAGGAGGGCCATCTCGCTCGTATGTACAACAACAACAACAACAACATAGATATCCACCACCACAACACCACCCACATCGATACCAGCAGCCGCAACAACCACGTGGGCTGGGACAGGCTGGGCCACGTGGGTCTGTGGATGATATATCGTCCGGAAAGCCCGACATGGGCACGGAAAGAGGGCCTCCTAGGGGTGCGCCTGACTTGGCTGAAGGCGCGCGACCATCTGTCTCTGGGCCTTTGAGCACATCACAGCAGCAACAGCTGCGTCAACAACAACAACACGCACTGCACCAGCAGAGTATGTATGGCAGGGCTAAGGATATGAGCGCAGGCGAGTACAGGGCGGGAGACCCGGGTCTGAGCGAACGGCCCATGAGTGCCAGAGGAGGTCGAATGAACGCTGATATTGAGAGAGATGGTATGCGGGAGAGAGAGCATGAACGAGTGCGAGGGCCCATGGGTTATGGGAGAGGTATGGGCAACGACCATAAAGCGGGCACACCGCATCCTGGTATGTTTGCACCAGGCCCCAGTCCACAAATGCAGGTGCAGGACAGAGACGGGTGGGAAAACCAGTCCCATCTGTCTAAGGTATCGCCAGCCCAACAAGCGCGGGGGGGTCAGGCTGGACCACCCCCTGCTCATCACTTGGATGTGCAACAGCGATATGGTAGAGGGTCAAAATCTAGCGGGAGTGCATACTTCAAGGGTGGCATTGATGAACACAAGCGCGAGGGTGAAACCCGCGAAGATGTCGCACGATCGCACTTCTCACATGCCAGTTATGGTGCACAACGGCAACTAGGACGTCAACAGTACATGCAGCAACAGCAGTACTTACAAAGCAGGCAACCGCAAGACGGTCCAGGCAATGACTACAATCCACGTCCAGGCACATCACCACCTCCACCGCGGTCATACTATGCGGAGAGAGAGTTGGATAGAGACATGCCTCCCCGTGCGCAGGGCGACAGGATGCGCGAGAGAGAGGCATACCTGCGCAGAGATCGCGAAAGGGTCGAGACAGGGGGAGGGCCTGTAGTGGGAATGTGTACAGGTGCAGGTGCAGGTGGTCCTTATAGTAGACCTGGGGAGTACCAGTATGGGCGTACGCGCCCTGGAGACCAGGATCAGGGTCAGTACGCTATGTCACCACAGGATGCACGCTCACCAGAGCAAACAACAAAGAGGAGAGGTGATTGGGAATAATGTGAGATTAAGATAGAAACAGAGGGAACATGAATACCTACGAAGATAATAAAATATGTACATCCTCAGATATCCTCAAATATGGCGTTTATTGCCGTGCCTTCGTATATACAACTGATATGGTCGTCCTAAAGGGTGTATTACAGGAAAATCAATTTTAGAGTTTACTTCGTTCGTGCTAAACCACAGCGCAATATTTCATGTTTTAGAAAATGCGCAAGACCAGACAGTACCTTAGATGCCGAATAATGTATAAAGCTCATAATTTGTTCGCGACCAAAATTAGGCATATATGAATATTACGATCAGGAATATTATTTTATTCTTCTTCTAGAGGGTCATGTATTTATGTTCAATAAGGATTGCAATATTTTTCAGTTCTTGCGATCTACATACTAAAGCTTTGTGAAAGCCCGTTTGAGATTCACTCCAGACTGAGAAAGGTTTAGCATTGAAGTAACAATGCCATACCTCCAATCTTTCAATTCCCCATCGAATGACCATAAGTTACCAAGTTCTATTCGTTAGCAGGCCATCATTTGTGCGCTTCCCCTATAGTCGTATAGGTAGTATCGTACATAAATTGAAGATTTACTTTGTCACTCGAGCACAGATTTCGCTTCTATGCAAGCCACCTTGAGAATGTCGGAACGTCTTGGTCCATATCCTAAACACCAGAACGAGAGAATTATTTCTTCGGACACTGGCAACGGTCTTCGGGGGCAACACCACTCAAAGCGGACTCGATATGATTACCACAACCGGCCCAGGTAGGTTTCTGACATTGTCCACAGGCAGTTCTGAAACACATAGTACTTGATTGTTTAGTTTCGCTTTGTATTGATTTATAGATATTGTATTATATGCGGCTCTGTCCCGCTTTCCTCAGGGGTTTATATAGTTGTGCAGATATTGATGACTTGGTACAGTGATATAGTGTATACTTGTATATTTTAAATATTTGTACAGGCTATGTTGTTACTACACTCGCTAGAGCTAGTATACTACACGTGTGCTTTTTTATAAAAAAAACAAAATGAGTATTTCGGCCGCCTGAAAAGGTGACACCTGCTGGCAGTCAGCCTCAGTCAGGTGATGGGGTCGACAAGTGGTCTGATTTACCAGACGTTGCACCCCAAAAAAAGAAAAAAAATCTTTTTTTAGAAGGGAGGCTACATACATATGTACATACAATAAACAATTGTACATACATACGAGCCTATGCGACAGACTACAGAATACAGACTCACAGAGTCTACGTCGCAACGAGTCAGCGACGGACCTAAGTTTTATTTACCGCGAGTGTTTAGCTCCTCTCACTCTCGCTCTCTGTAAATACTCTTCTCTCTCTACTAGTATAGTAGTAGTAGAGTAGAGAGAGTCTCTACTAGTCTCTACTCTAGCTCTGACGACTGAAGTCACTGACTTACTAGGCAGTGAGCCGTGAGGTGACACCGTGAGTCTGTGACTGTCGGCGTGACTTGACTGTCGTCAGTGTCGTAAGTCGTGACTCGTGACAGTGTGAACTGAGAACTCACTGAACTGTGAACTGCGTTACCGTATAATAATGATGTGTCGGAATGGGCTTGGCCGAATGTATGGGCCTATGGGGCCATGGGGCCATGGGGCCATGGGGCCATGGGGCCATGGGGCCATGGGGCCATGGGGCCATGGGGCCACGGGGCCATGCCAGGGGGCCAATACAACAAAATATATACTGCTCGGTCGTGTGTAGTCAGTACTTAGGAGTGAAGAATCACTCTCGCTATTCTCTATTTGTTCTTAGAGTACATAAATACCATAGTCTTGACTCTTGAGACTTGAGCCCCTTGAGGCCTGACCGCCTGAGCCCTGAGGGCATCACCGGCTCCCCGGCTCACCGCATCAGGCAAACAATTGTTTTTTTTTAGAAACAACAGGTTTTTAACGATTGCCGGTAGCTCTCGTGACCAATAATCAATCGTCTACAAAACTTCTGTACACATTAACATTGGCCTACGGACATAAAATAAAAGAGTGTACCCAGTAAAGGTGAAGAGATAATGTGCTTCTTTATCCTACTATCCATTGAGCGGCTTGATAGTATAGTAATAACATGTTTACGTTGGATATCATAATTATCTATCAATTATAAGAAATAGATCGGTCGTTAGCAATATTTCTTTCACGCCCATCTCGGCCATTGGGGGTATGTATGTATGGGCTGATCGTCGGGCCGTAGGGTTCTAACCTCTTAGGCCCATAGCCGGACATAGATATTTTTTTGTTCAATAAATTTATTTTTTAAAAATAGTAATAATAGAAATCAAAAATAAACTTCGATACAAATTGACTTTTTGGTTTTGGTTTTTTTGAAATTATTTCCCTTCTTGCAAGTACAGACTCTGGAGTCGGGGAGGGGCGAGGGGGGCGGTGGTGGGGGTGCCTTCTTTAAAAACAGGCGACGGCGTAAGCGGTGCAGCTGCTATCATATTTACATAGTATTTATTTAGTCTGTTACGCATACCTTTTTACAAAATTTGCTCTATTGTCGTTGTATATATAAGCTCATAAAGCCAACAAAGAAGACCAAATCCAGATTTTGCAGCACTCCACGGTTCCACAAAAGTCAACACAGATATTTACAATGTATACCAAAACAAATGAAAAAACTCCTCTAAAGCCGGTTACTTCCGAGCTCCAATCTAAAACTGCAGGGAAAACAAAAGGTCCCCTGTTCATAAATCCTCCAGCTCACATTACATACACAATTATGGTTTTTTCTGGTATTGTCTTCGGGTTCGCACTCTCTAAGGGGAGAGTGTTTGAACCGGGGAACATAGCTGGACAGATGGTCTTTGAAAAATTCATCATGTTTAAGATGTTCTTCATGGCCATGATTTCGTCGCTCGTAACCCTGTCGGTGCTGTCAGTTATGCCTCGCACGCGTCCATACTTCTTAAAAGCTGTGGAAGAGTACGGTAACTGCACTAATTCGAGGGGACTTTTGATGACATCATTAGGTGGTCTTATGCTGGGTACTGGCATGTCTATTGCTGGTTCCTGTCCCGGGAACGTTTACATACAAATGGGAGGTGGCCTGGCCTACTCCTGGGTAACCTTTATTGGAGGTCTCCTGGCCGCTGCCGTGTACAGCTACGTTGAGCCGACTCTCAGATCTTCCATCCAGGAAATTGGAATATTGCCAGAGACATTCCTGCACTTGAAGCTAAACACACCCTTCCACCACTTGGCCTTACCATTTGCATGTGTATTGCTTGTATGTGTGAGTCTGTTAGAGGCGATGGTACCCTGGGAAACTGAGGTGACGACTTCTGCTAATGTAGGGAGCTTCATAACATGGTTCAGTTGGCCACCCATGGTTAGTGGTCTACTCGTGGGTATTCTCCAAGCACCCATAGTACTTTTAGTACGTGACACAGTAGGGGGATCAAGTAGTTTCATGAGCATTGTCGCAAATTGTGGCGTTCGCAACGAACACGTGGACAAATTCAGATCCGGCATGAGCAATAACTGGCAGGTAATTTATGTTCTAGGTGCGTTTCTGGGTGGTCTATTCAGCTCTATGCTATCACACTCCTATGGGGTAGCAGACTCCGTTGATTCATTCGGATGGATTCGACAATTGGTGGGCGGATTTGTCATGATTTTTGGTGCGAGAATGGCTGGAGGCTGTACCAGCGGTCATGGCATCAGTGGAATGGGGTTTATGAACTTGAATTCATTTTTTGGTGTCATTGCAATGTTTGCAGGTGCCATTCCCACAGGGCTTTTTATTAAGTATCTTTTATAAGTCGGGCTATATAAACATAAATAAATTTCTCTTATACCACTAACAACTTGAATCAAGTCATTCCCTTACACTTTACGTTGCAACGTAGCAGCACGCTATACACGATGGGAAATTTCTGTAAAATATATATAAGCTAAATATTTACATGAGGGGCCACGCATCAGTGAATATTTTCCGAAGGTTCGATGAATTATATTTCATTTTCGATTATGTGGTTCGGCGGGCACATGAAGTACTACTGTAATACATAGACCGCCTTTTTTCATTTCACCTGTCACCAAGGGCTATGTGTCATGAACTCATGATAGTGAAATGCCGGAATTGTGGACATTTGAAATTCTCAATTCAGTATTCAGTCATTCACACAGGTCACAGGGTACTGGTCTGTCAGTCTGTCACTGGGCCCCTGGCAGGCTGAGTCTGGGACTGGGGGATGTCGCGGAGAGAAAGCCTGAAAGAGTGAGAGGTGCAATCGCCAATCACCCTAATAAATATATAATTTTTTTAGTCCAGAACAATGAGAACATACTCCATAGCCTTCTAAATAAAATAATAAAAAGAACGCCAAAATCGCAAGATCTTTATATTGTGAGTCTACATACTTGTCATGATTTAAAAAAAAAGGATTTTTGAGGCGTATTGAAACACCTCATTTTATTTAAATTCTGATACGACTGGTTGACGCCCGGCACCACCCACAAGAGCCTATTTCGAAGTAAAATAATTTTAATTAGAGTTCCACTGTCCGAGTGGTCGGCACAATCCAGAGTCCCAGACATGTGAATACACTCGTGAGCCGTGACTGGGGTTCAATCATACTCTCAGTGTCCACTCACACTGCCTACTTTGTCAGCGGCCTCCTGTCTGTCGAAGTAACCTATTGTACAAGTCACCACTTTACATTACATTCATACATACACCGCCTGGGTAATTCTTTGTACACGTCTCCTCTACAGGCTCTACTGTGGTGATAAGTGATTTAGACATTGGAATGCGAGTTAAGTACTCGAGATAATCAATACATAGTACTCCACTTTTCATCTCATCCCACGCCCCACGGCCGCGCGGTACATCATAAAACTTTAAGGAACAATAAATTGGATAGATATTTATCTATATTCACAATGGAACGACAATTATCGAATCGAGATCGCTCGATCTCGCGAGAGAGAGAGATTGAGGTGTCCACACTCGCGCTAGATCTACCGTCGGTGGCGGAAGAGTGCTTCATTCGTACACAGACTTTGCAAGAGATGATTGGGCATAGCCAGGCCAGCAATGCAATCGTGGTGCCTGCCGCACCAGAAAAAGACCACGGGGTATGTTTCGAGGAAGTAGTGTGTAATGGGACAGAATGTATACTATTTCAACTAAGTAGCCGAGCCTCATGTATATGTTCAAGAGACTCGAAAACATATCAATATCGTGCGATTTTATATATATTCATTTTATGTATGTATTTGAAAGTGCACGCATATAAGCATGCTTTGTTGATATCTGTTTATATCCTATATATTCATGTATATATTCTTATCTGTAACTGTATATAAACTTTTTTTATATTCTTATCTGTAACTGTATTTAAACACATACATACACCACACACACACACACACAACTATATATATATATATATATATATGTATATATATATACTATATATATATATATATATATATATGTGTGTGTGTGTGTATGTATGTATACATACACAGATATGTATATATATGTGTTTGTGTATGTGTATATGTACATATATATATATATAAGTATATTTTAATGTATATACATATATATATATACGTTAATATATATATATATATATATATTATTCTATTATTATATTATTCTATTTTTTATACTATTATATTATTATATATACATATATATATACACATATATATTTATATATATCTGTGTGTGTGTGTATGTATATATATATGTAAATTTTAGTATATATATATATATATATATATATTAAATATACACACACACACATATATATATATATATATATATGTATATTGGATTTCCATATGAATATCGATATATTCACGTATATATGTATGTGCGTCTATGTGTGAATGTCTGCGTGTATGTATTTTCTCTCTTTTGTACAATGAATATATATTGTCTGTATTCCCGATATTGGTTGTATATTCATATTGGAATATATATATAATATTTCGAATCTTCATTTCAGTCTGCAGAATTACATGCACTATATCTGTCGGTTTATTATTTTGGTGCCGGGCTGTCAATCATCCACAATTGGAAGTAACCAATGAATATGTGTTCTTGTGGAAATGGATTTACATGTATGCTTTGGGATTGTTGATTCACATAGTCAACCACCTGCATTTTACAACGACATCGGACATACTGGCTATATGCGTAACGATATGTTGATGGCGTCGTATTTGCGAATACATACATAGCACATTACGATCATAAGTTAAATTGCTATCTGAAACCAACATTTTGTCGTCGTCGGCTAGATGAAATCCAGAACTCTTCGTAGGCGCGGCTTCGGTTACATCTTAACATACAGCTAGGTCTTCACTGGACAATCTATTATCCATAAAGGGACTATTTCTGTTGTATTAGTCCTCAGTCTGAATTTTGTTACGCAGAATGAACACCAGTTTTGTATGATCCGACCACTACAGTCTGCGCAGCTAGTCTAGATCTAATTAGATCATACATCCATAGTAACCAATGATTCTAAATGCTTCGATGTGAAGGAGGTGATGTTGATAGAAATCTGCTGCGTAGTCGGCTGGATAGTTAGTTACAGCTGCAACGGTATTCAAGCTAAAAACTCATCAGTTATTACGATATGAGCTGAGAATGACATAAATCCCAATTGTCCTGTCCATTTCTCCTGTACCCGTTTTAGGAAACACTCATCGTGCCGGTACAAATGCATGAGGGTCCCAAAAGCACAGAGGATGACGATACTGAGAAGACTCCTCTATTAGGAAGTGTGTTGAACCACACGGCTATCGCCACAGACGAGTCCGGCTCTATGGATTTGTCCCATTTGTTTATGAACATTGGCCGTGGCGGAAGTGGCGATGCTGAGGACGATGTTATGTCGCACATCTCATAGTATGTTGACATGGAGAAAGTAGTGCGTATGTATCTTTCTACGTGTGCGTGTGTATCTTAATACGTGTATACGTATTCTTATACAAGTCTTAAAATATTGTTTTACGAGTGTATATGTACCTTTGCGCTCGAGGTTTATCCTCGTCATACAAGTGTATATGAATATGGGTTGGCAATTGTGTGTACGACGTTTTCTTAGCTATAATACATTTGCTAGTAAATGAATTGGTGTGATACCTCCGGGAGTGGCCTAAAGCTTTCGTTTGTCTGAAGGGCTGTAGTTCGTAAGCCACTTGAGGCTGTCCTACAACAATCGAAGCTTCGCTAGCACCTGTGGCATTATCGTAGACCCTCAGCTTCGTATCATACGCATGTGTTTTTATCATACGCATGTGTTTTGATGGCATGCGTACATACTACATAGAGGCACATACCCATACATTCATATTCTCGATATGTGCATTAGAACTGCGTTGTGTATATGATACACTCGGAAAAGCATCAGGCACGCACTATATAGGGCAGAGTGTATTGTATTGTATGTATGTATGTATGTATGTATGTATATACGAAAGATGTGTTTCTCGGGCTATTGTCGCTTCGTCTATCCTCGATAAATGCAGTTGTCCAGTCCGCCGTCCCTAAAGGTACATAAACATACACACATATATGCAATCATGCATATATATATATGTATATATATACAGACATACATACACACATACATACAATCATGCATGCATACATGCGTACATGCGTATATACACACTAAACACTAAAACACTAAACCCTAAGTACTGTCGTCCAATTGCTCGTTGGGTGCTTACTTTATTCTTCCCACCTGCAGCGCCAGTCACATGTCGCGATTCAGTCGATTCAGCTCCAGTACACGCCACTCTGTTGTAGAGGAAATGATGCTGGAGATGCCAATTGCCAGTGTGCCCGTATGTGATGTTTGTACGGTTCGTTTAAGTTTGCATGCATATATTCATTGTGTAGTGTGTTTTATTCTCGAGGAACTAGTGTGTACTTTGCCCGCGCGCATTTTTTTCTGTGTGCGCGAGTGTTGTACATGTGCGCCTGGGCATGGATGTCTATCAATCATTTCACTCTATATCCCACGTGTACACATCTATACCACATGTGTGTCTGAGCTCAATGCTCGTGTGCATCTATATAGCCTCTTGTTTCTGGTATGTCTCTGTGTTGTGCCTGTGCCTGGTGTTTGTGTGTGCCATTCACTGGCGTGCGTCTATCGTATGTTGGTCATACGTTAAGCATCACTGTACCCTATCTGTGCGTGGATCATATGTATACTTACGCACACATCGTGTTTAGGGTTTAGGGTTTTAGGGCTGCACCGTGCGGGTCTGTACTTTCTCTCGGTCAACCTCATGCCCACAACAACTCGTCGGCACACCCACAGAACTACCCGCAGATTCTGATGCTACTAGAACATCAGGAAGAGGGGGGTGAGCAAGTGGAGATGTATTTGGCCGTGGCTCAGCCAGAAGCAGAGGACCAAGTGCCTGCAGACCAACCAGAGACCCTCTTAGATGCCCTTCACATTCCCAAAATCTTCCCCACGCTACCCGAACTCCCCACGGATATCGGTACGTATCGGTTTGGTGACTGTGAATTCTATTTACAGCAATAGGTTATGGTTTACCCTCGCCAACGCTAGTAGAACCCTATCAAGTCTTACAGAGTCAGCAACCAGCTCTTGGTCTGAGGGGTACCTCGATGTGGTACAAATGTGATACCAGACACTGAGTATACGGTTTTTGGAAAGGTGGATGTTAAAACTACATCAATGCTAATGCTAGTATATATATATATATCGACTTGCTTTCAACAGATGACATAACGCTTCGAACGGAAGGAGATTTGCAACACACTACGTTTGTACTGCGCGTTTCACGGTCAGTGAAAGCCCTGGGATACTTCATTACGATATTTGCCATGTTGTCGATCTCATGCCTGGTATGTTTCTGTTCTCTGGAGCTGATATAGTTAGCGTATATTCAGTGTCAAATATACACATTGACATTTGTATCTGTTCTATATATATATATA